AGAATAAATTATATATATATAATTATGAGTCAATTTTGATAAAAATATTATTTGAAGTACTAAATTGAACAAACATGAAATTAGAAACATAAATTTAAATAAATTAAATAACACGCATGGGTGAGAGATCAAATCGAATTAATTATAAAAATGTGAAGTTAAAATTAATATAAAAATAGACTAATTGCATACATTTAAAAGGTTGGTGAATAAAAGTTTATAGATTTGAAATGAAATTTATTATGTAATTTATAAGATTTGAAGTAAATTACAAAAATATATACCTAAAATGTACTTTTTGTTTCATTTTAATATCCTGTCATTAAAAATTTAATGTGTTTAGTTCCTAAACTATCAGTTTTGATCTGTTTTAGTACTTAATTTTTTATTTTTTTTTCAAAATTTAAGTATGATTTAGGTACTAAACGTGCTTTGGTACCTAGACTTTCATTTTTTTTCAAAACTTAACGGCGGGGTACTAAAATGAAACAAAAATTAAACTTTAGGTATGATTTTAAAAAATTAAAAATTTAGGTACTAAAATGGATCAAAACTGATAATTTAAGTATAAATATAAATATATACTATGAAGTATATATATATATATGATGAATGTTATAATAATATGATGCATGTATATATAATATACATTATATTTATGCATACATTATATACACACACTTATATATATACACACACTTATAAACATACGATATATATATACACTTATATCCATTAGATCAAACTTTATCAAGGATCCAAATTGATTTAGTTTTAATCACTAAGATTAGTGACACGACACTTAAAAAGATGGAGTCATTTAATGTTCATCTTTTCCAAGTTAAAAGTGGGGAAAAAAACACTTTCTACCCGATGATCAAGAAAGTGGTGGCAAAACATGGCAAAATTTTAGGCTTTAGGTTTTTGACTTTTGTATTATGTTGGGATTGTAAATTGGGCCAATGGAATTTTTTTGTTGTTGTTGTAATGGATTCTATTTATTTGGTCCTAATATATGTAAATAGGGTAAAAGTGTTAAAATAATGCAATGAAAAAAATTATTCATATAGTGCAGTCGAATAATTATTTGTTTAAGTATGGTGATTGTTACAGTGACCACCATATGTCTCCCGGAACACATGGCGACCTCTATAAGTCTCTAGAAGCACACGGTGACCTATGGAGCACTTGGCGACCTATGGAGTTGCAACAGCGAGGGAATAAAGAAGAAATATTACAACAGATGAGACTTTATCGCAAGGAGCACTTGGCGACCTATGTAACACTTGGCGACCAATGAGGTCACTGTAGCAAACACTCCATTTCAAGAAATAATTTGGGAAGAACCCTATATGAGAATTTTTTTTCCAACACCCTACATGGACGAGGAAGCCATGTAAATAGACTTATATGTAATATAAATGAGTTTTTATTATTTTTGGACTTTAATAAAAGTATGCTATATTTATTTATAACATAAGTAATATATGTATATGTATATGGATATGAAATATGAAATATGATATATGGTATATATCAATATATAGTTTATATTAATCTCATCACCCGAATAAAATGGGTGATGATAAGAGCATAAATTTTAACACAAATTTATTTAATTGATTTAATTGTAATTTTAGTGTATTAAAGTGTAATAAATTTTATTTTATTTATTTATAAATTATTAGTTTTAGTATTTGTTATGCTATTCAAATTTATAATCTCAAATAAATTCATCTTTTATATATATATATATATATATAAATATATATTAAAATTTTAAGTTAAATTATATTTATATTATTAATCAATTTTTACGTAAAAAATAAAATAGACTTATAAATATTTTAATTAATTATTATAATTAATATAGAAAGTAAATTTATTAATTTAGTTATCATAACTAAAAATTTATTTTAAATTTCAAAAAAGTAATCATATTAATTTAATTATCACAAGTTTATCATAAATTTAAAATCTCATAATTGCATCAATTGTAACTTATTACTTATAAGTAAGATAAATATTATATAAGTTCAATAGTAAGTCAGATCATTTACAGTTTGAGTCAAGTATAGGTCATATTCATAATAGGTCGGGTAATACCGATTATTTACCAGGTTAATCTCGGGTTCGATTACCATATTATCGGTTTAATTCAGGTTCAGATCGTTCTCAGATTAGGTGCAGGTTAGGTTGAAATCCACAATTTCCAGGTCCAACTCGGATTCAAGTCAACGTCAGTTCGAACTGGAATCAGTTTCAGATCATCTCCACCCGATCCACAAACAATTTTAACTCAAATAAATTTTAGTCAGTTTTACAAGTCAGGTCAGCTTTTTACAACCCAAACAATTCTTTATTTCAAAATATACCAAGCGTGCCCACAATTACTAATGTCTAGTTATTTATAATAGCCCAAGCCCAACAGACTTAGGTTGATTACAACAGAATCCACAACCAACTATAACAGACTATTACTTATACTCTATCAACCAGAAGATAATTCACTTAGACATCAAACCTCAAAAATATCCTCTTAGATGAGAATTACAACGTCAAAGTTTCAGATTTTAGGTTATCAAAGATACTTGGAAAAGAGCAAAGTCGAGTCATTACGACTACGAAGGGAGCCCCAGTTTATATGGCTCCTGAATGGTTAAGCTCAGTCATAACCGAGAAAGTAGATGTCTATAGCTTTGGTTTTGTGGTCTTAGAAATTCTGTGCGGGCGACCAAACCTCGATGGATCTCAACAGGAAGAAGAAGATCAACATTTTCTGCGACTTTTTAGGAGAAAGCAAGAAGAAGGGAAACTCATAGATTTAGTGGATAAGGGCAGCGATGCTATGCAATCGAATGGGGCTGAAGTTGTGGAAATGATGAAGGTTGCTGCATGGTGCTTGCAAACTGAATATGAAAGGAGACCTTCCATGTCCACAGTGGTGAAGCTTTTTGAGGGATCAGTTGATGTAGAAGGTAACATGATGAAGAATTTCGAAATGGATTTACACCTGAAGCAATGGAGGCATATTCTTCAACAATCTTACCCTCTATGTTATCTGGACTTCATGCAGATGGGGTGTAAGCTAAGGTATGTTCCCGAACTCCAATAACAGTTGCTTGTTACTATTGACTGCCATTTGATTTGCATGTTTACCATTTTAACTGTTCGAAATGGTCTTTTAAGTAGTGAAATTGTTGTCAAAACTATCTGCAATGTCTGGAAGCTTGTTTTATGTTAAGTTCCTTGTGTTCATCCCAAACTTTGGTACCCAAAAATAAATACTTGTTGAACTAAAACACAGAGATGGAAGACTAAGAGGTAGTGGGAAATATTCTCTTTCAAAACTACGTATAGTTCACGTTCTGCATGTTTAACCATGCATTTCTATTTCCCAGCCCCACCCCAGGCTTTTACTTTTAGCCCTTCATTTTACTCTTTCATGAGTTTGACATTATTAATTAATCAAAATTTCATGTACATAATTGAATAAAGACTCAAACCAACAAAATAACATATACATCCACGAAGGAAAAAAAAATAAAGATATATGAAGAAAAACCAGGCATCATAAATGTTGCTTTCCACTTTTCAAGCAATTCATTTCAGTTAAAAATTTTAAGATCCAAAGGTCACTAAAAAGATAATAAATAGTGATCAGCAGTAAGTCACGACGGAGGACTTTGATCAGATTTAGAGATTAAATTAATATTTTTATGTAAAATTTATGGGTCAAATTAATATTTTTTAAAGTTTAGAAGTCAAATTAAAAATTAAGTCATTTTATTAACTTGTAAGATTATCAAATTAATGACATTTAACGAATCCGTGACCAAGAAATTATAAATAGATAATATAAATGACCAAAACATTATTTTTTAAAAGTGGATAGCCAAAATTGAATATTTTAAAATGAAAGTGACCATTTCAGTAGTTTCCCAATGTTCTGATTAGCTTTTTATCTTCAAACACAGGGAAGACGTTTTTGCTGGAATTGCGATGCAAATTACTCTTAGTTTGCAACAAACACCAGACTGTTTAACTCATGCATGCCAACTGAATTTAAACACTTGTCTAATCAGTGTAGGAGGGGGCCGGTAACCAAAAAAGCATTGAGAAAATTCAGATGAACAGCGACCTGCGCATTTGTTTTCACATGGCTGCTAACACTTTCGACTCAAAAAAGGTTATACTTTATAATGTACTTTGCCTACACTTTTGAACAATAGCATACATCAACAACCTGATGAACAATATTTAAGCTGTGCTGTTGCCTAAAATGCCTCCAACGAACGAGACGTGTTACGAAACAATAGAAAAAGGACAAGATATTAAGAGGCAAAGAAAGTCGCTCACAAGCAAAAGCAAAAGGATGTTCTTTTTTTATCCATTTTGTGAACAGTGAAAAACTTTAAGGGAAGATGAGTTGCACCTCAATAATTATAGAGAGTTCGTGATGGAGTTTGAAATAACATAAAGCAAGTGATGTTGATGCCATATGTAATTATCAAATTCACATGTTCAAAAATTAACATATAATTTTATGTTGGAGGATATGAATTTATGAAATTTTATTTGACAGATTTTCAATCGAAAATATTTAAAATATATATAGATTTAAAATTTTTTTAAAGAGGACAACCGTCCATACCGCTATTCGGGTCCATCTCTGCATATGCTAAACCCCTCCCCCCAAACACATTACCAAAGTCCTTTTTCTTTCATATTTCTTGAAGAGTTTATTTTCCAAAAGGTGTGGACCGGCCCTCCGTTACATCAATAAACTTGGTCACATCAAGCTTTAGTCTCATTATTGCTTTTCAACTAGTTTTATAGGTTCTCGCCCCTCATCTTTGCCCCCACTTCAATGACTCAAAAAAACATTCCAACTTTCCCAAAGGACAATCAGAACCACTTGTGATTACCCTATCTCCCTCTTTACAATTCATTTCCCTTCTAGCTTCTTGGATTGAATCTACTTTAAACAAAATCCAATAATGACATATGTTCACTCTAGTCCATATTTCCAAATGGACAATCCGGCGATACTTTCGCTGCTCCGGCCTACTCCAAAAGAGAAGCATCGTAAGTCGAGTAGTACGGGTGGCGGCAGTCTCTTGCGTATGTTCAAGCTCTTCCCTATGTTAACCTCTGGGTGTAAGATGGTTGCATTGTTGGGGAAACCCCAGAAGCCATTTCTGAAGGACGGTACGACGACGGGGACGATTTTCGGATACCGTAAAGGCCGGGTTTGGTTAGCCATACAAGCTGATCCCTATCGGATGCCGATGTTTTTGATCGAGCTACCGATGCTCACTGGCGTGCTTCAAAAGGAAATGGGATCGGATATTGTGAGGATAGCACTAGAGAGTGAAACCAGGACACATAAGAAGAAGTTGTTTGAAGAATTTGTGTGGGCGGTTTATTGTAATGGGAGAAAGATGGGTTACTCTATTAGGAGGAAACAAGTGTGTGAAGATGAGCTTCAAGTTATGCAGCTCTTGCGAGGTGTTTCAATGGGAGCTGGGGTACTTCCAAGCCCCAACGACAAGAAAGATGGAGCCAATGGGGAATTAACATATATGAGAGCAACATTTGAGAGGGTGGTTGGATCAAAGGACTCACAAACTCTGTATATGATCAATCCAGATGGTGCACCTAGCCCAGAACTTAGTATTTTTTTCATAAGAGGTCATTAGTATTTGTGTTTTACACTTTGCTCTGATTCTGCTTGTACTCCTTTTGTGCTGAAACTAGATATTTAATCACTCCAATTTAGGATAATAATTATTGTTAAAGTGATGACATGTATTTTTATGCTGTTAGATGGTTAAAATTATGTGAAAATCTAACTATGTAATTGAGCCTATCAGCCCAGACAGTTAGGGACAATACTATATTTACCTTAGCTTTTCAAATTGACCCGCCTTAACATAAATTGCAGCCAGGTTAAGGTTACCCTATGTTGCCCAATTACGCTTGACTTAACTATCATTTAGTGAACCTCTAAAATATTGTCTACTCCTTCCATGTCATTTAAGTCTGCATAGCTCTCCATCCAAAGAATGTAAGTGGAGTGACTCTGGGGAGTGTTTCAATTCTTCAATTGATCGATAAGTTTGGGCACCATCCGTTTTCGCAAGCCGAGGACGAGACTGTTCTTGGCTGCTCCTGGCGTGTATGGTTACTAGGTTGCTTCCGGAAAGGACCAATAATGCCGTCAAGAATAATTGGAACTCGACGTTGAAGAGGAGGGCAAGAGGAGGGAAAGAACAACATCAACAACAGCTGTTGCAACATCCAAAAGATAAGGAGGCATTGACTTAGTGGTGTCCGGTCATAGTACTAAATTGTGGTTCTAACCTAGTATAATGGTCGCATTGCATTGAAATAGTTTTAAAGGTCATCGTAACAAAAATCAACGCAACAAGACGAAAGAATCACATCACGACTTTTATAATCTGAAATTTTTACGTAATGTCACAATAAGCAAAATATTACGTCGTAAATGTTGGAAATATGGACTGCAAATCACACCGTTAGCACTGACAAGAAAGATAAATAGTAATTTAAAAGAAACAGATTCATAAACCGTGTAGTGGTAAAACCACTTCCTTAGAAACAAATTTGCCCCGATGTGTGTAATCACTGCAGTAGGTGGACCGCTCCCCCGAGGTTAACACGACTCTCCAAGAATTCGTATACCTGAAAACTGGAGTGAACTTGGTGGTATTGCTCTTCTCTCAACTCAAACAATACTCAAAAGAGAGGAGTTTTTCAAAGCAAATGTTTGCTTGGGATATATCAAAATCAATGAAATTGCTCAATATTTATAGGCTAAATAGTAAGGACAAAATCGTCATTTACAATACTAGTGGGATAACCTAATTTGAGCATATTTGCAATACTAGTGGGATAACCTAATTTAGCATATTTCTAATACTAGTGGGATAACCTAATTTGAGCATTATCAACATTCCCCCACTAATGCGAAAGAATTCTTTCGTAAAGATGAGAGCAATGAAGTTAAAACACGAGAAGAGCAATAGTGAGATTAGTTGCTTAAGACTAGTGAACGTATCTGGAACTAGTACATAGTGATGATGAGCAATCATTCTCTTAGATAAGTGAAACTAGTCTTGAACTTTCTAAGATTATGATAAACTCATAACACACAACTAGCCCCTTCATCCACCAAAGTCTTTGATGTGTTTACAAAGAGTATATACAAAAGCGTATATATGTTTAGCCTTCTTTCCTCAGGATTCTAATAAGTGTACTAGAAAAACGGCCCAATATTTTTCATAGAATGTGGCTAATCTTTCTCACTTCGTAGGTTATTTCATCAAGTTTATCTCAACATAAATCACTCAAACTGAGCTATGAAATAATTAAGAGCTTTTATAATAGCTCAACCTCACAAAGGGTGGTGACTTTCTTCAAGTTCATTAAAAATGAACCACCCAAACTCTGGGATAAGAAATCATAAAAAAAATTTATTCAACCTCATAATTCGATGAATTCAATATGTCCCTCTCACTAGAAACTCCCAAACTTTTGGGTTTGAATTCATTAAGAGTTTAATAAAACTCATCCTCTCAAGCGGTAAGTTCATCTAGTCCTTCGCGATTAGAACTACCCACTCAACTCTGGGTTATGAACTTATTAAGAATAGATATTCAGCCAAAAATCGGTAAATTCATCAAGTCTTTCTCACTAAGACCACCCAAAGCCTAGGTTATGAATTTATTAAGAGCAATTAAGCTCATCATGGGCATGTACATTATTCATCATAGGGATAGACAGTAGGAATGTGCACTATAAGTCTTTCCATAGTTTTGTTTGACCACATATAACTTAGATAACTAAGTTGAGTATCCACCATGAATTCCTCAACCAATGGGCTTTAGACCCATCCCCTTCGACGAACTAGGACCAGCTTCCTACTTAACCCGTTGGTAAGTGGATCTGCTAGGTTCCTTTCCAACTTCACATACTCTAAAGAGAGCACTTCATTCTTTATTAAGCGTCTAATTGATTCATGTCTTATGCGAATGTGTCTTTTCTTATCATTGTAAGCTTGTTTCTTAGCCACACATATCGCAGCTTGTGAATCACACAACAAGAAAACTAGAGGAGTCGATTTTCCCCACAATGAAATATCTACTAACAAGCTTTTGAGCCACTCGGCTTCTTGCCCAGCTAGGTCAAGAGCTATAAAATCTGACTCCATGGTAGAACGAGCAATACAAGTATGCTTTGATGATTTCAACGAGATTGTTCTCCACCTAAAGTGAAAACATATCCACTCATAGAGCTTACCTCATCATTATCAGAAACCCAGTTGGCATTACAATATCCTTCCAGTACCGCAAGAAAGAAAACAAACTCAAGTTTCCAATCCAAAGTACCCTTAAGATACTTCAATAAGCGTTTAAGAGCAATCCAGTGTTCACCACTTGGATTATGAGTATATCTACTCAGTCTACTCAAAACATAAGCAATATCATGCCGAGTATAGTTCATTAAGAACATTAAACTTCCGATTAATTTAGCATATTCTGTTTGGGAAACGCTACTTCCTTTATTCTTAAAGAGATGTTTGCTAGGGTCATAAGAAGTTCGAACAGAGACGACATCAAAATTGTCAAATATCTTTAGCACTTTCTCTATATAATGTGCTTGATTTAAAGAAAATTCCTTTTCAGTTTTGGTAACTCTGACTCCTAAGATTACATCGACTTCTCCCAAATCTGTCATCTCAAACTTAGTGGACAAGAAACTTTTAACGTTGTTAATGAACTCAATGTTAGAACTGAAAATCAACATGTCATCAACATATAGGCTTATGATGACACATTCAGTGCCAAACATCTTCGAATACACACAAGCATCTGAACCATTCACAACAAAACCAAAACTAATAATAGTTAGTGAATTTCTCATAACACTATTTAGGAGTCTGCTTAAGCCCATAAATTGACTTTTTAAGTCCACAAACTTTGCCTTCGATACCAGGTGCTTCAAAACCTAGTGGCTGCTTCATATAAATCTCCTCATCTAGATCCCTATTCAAAAATGCAGTCTTAACATCCATTTGATGAACCTGCAACTTATGAATAGAGACTAGTACAAATAATCCAAACCAAACCTTTGACGACTAACCTTGCCTTGTACTATTGAATCGAACCATCTGGCCTCAGTTTCTTCCGGAAGACCCATTTGTTGCATATTGGTTTGAATTCCTTAGGCAAGTCAACTAATTCCCAAGTATGATTAGACATTATCGATTCTAGTTCATCATTAATAGCATTTTTCCAGAAACTAGCATCGATAGATCTTATAGATTCTTCAAAAGTTTTAGGATCCTCATCTAACAGAAAAATTTGAGCTATAGGATCTGAAATGGAGTCTAAATCATTAATCTCATAAATAAATGAAGTAATAAAGTATGGTCCAAAAGAGGTTTCAACTCTTTGCCTTTTACTTCTTCTAGGCTCAAAAACAATTTGTTTAGAAGACCTAGCAGGACTACTAGAATAAGAAGATAACATATATTCTATTTGTGTTTCGATATTTATTCTCAGTTCCTTTAAAAGAAAAGTATTTAAAAGAAAATAGCATCCCTTAACTCACAGATAGATTAATCTTGTAAAAGCATGAATCTGTATGCAACACTATTCGTAGCATACCCTATAAACACTACATCAGCAATTTTATATCTGATAGTGGACTTCTTAAAGTCTGGCAAACCCACTTTGGCCAAACACCCCCACACTTTCAAGTATTGTAAATTAGGAGCGTATCCTTTCCATAATTCATATGGGGTAGAATCTAATTTCTTATGAGGAACTCGGTTCAAGATATGATTTGTCGATAGAATGTCTTTCCCTCACATGTTATCAGATAACCCTGAACTTATCAGTAAAGAATTCATCATCTCTTTTAAAGTTCTATTTTTCCTTTCGGCTATACCATTTTATTAAGGAAAATAGGGGGCTAAAGTTTCATGAATTATGTCATTCTTTTCACAAATATCTTTTAAGAAATTAGATCCATATTCACCACCTCTATCAGATCTAACCCGTTTAATTATCTTATCTAACTGATTTTCAACTTGTCTTATAAATAATAAAAGTTTTCAACTTCATCTTTAGTTCTTAGGAGATAAACTTTAGTATATCTTGAATAATCATCTACAAAAGTTATGTAGTAGTGTTTTTCCCCTTTACTTTCAGTATTTCTAAAATCTGCTAGATCAGTATGAATGAGTTCTAACAGTTCAGTCTTTCTATTAGAAACAGTCTTAAAGTGAGGTCTAGTATGCTTAGCTTCTACACAAATTTCATATTTGTTAAAGCTAGTTATCTCTAGTTTAGGCAGAACATTCATATTCATCAATTTCTTTAAAGCATGAATATTCAAGTGTCCTAATCTAGCATGCCACATATCAATGAATTCAATAATATAAGCAAAAGTGGTAGCTTTATTTTCATTAAATTAAGTTTCTATGACAAATAAATCATTGTCTAAAAAACCTTTCCTAACATAATCACCATTTCGAGAAAATACAAGTTTATATGCCTCAAAAACTAACTTAATTCCTGCCTTATTCAGAAGCTCACCACTTATCAAATTTATATGCAAAACAGGTACATACATAACATTATTTAAGGCCAGAGTTTTACCAGAAGTCAGC